TATATATATATATATATATATATATATATATATATATATATTTAATGCACTTAGTATTGTGTTTGAAATAGCTTTGTTCCATCAGGAGCAGCGACAAATTAGTGCATAAAACAAACAACTTCTTTGTGGAAGCACTATTTCCGCCACTATATTCTACCCTTCAGCTTTTTTTGTTCACAATGTTACCGGTTATTATCAGTTAAATGTAGTTAAAGTATGAAAAGTAAAAGCATTCATTGTGGAGTCAGTGTATTTATATATAGAGTATATTCCATTCCCATTGCATTATCCTAACCGCTTATCCTATTCAGGGTCGCGGGGCGCTGGAACCGATCCCAGCTAACATTGGGCGACGGCAGGGTACACCCTGGACAGGTCGCCAGTTTATCGCAGGGCACATATAGACAGACAAACATTCACGCTCACATTCACACCTACGGGCAATTTTGAGTCTCCAAATAACCGAAGCTGCATGTCTTTGGACTGTGGGAGGAAGCCGGAGAACCCGGAGGGAACCCACGCTGCTACGGGGAGAACGTGCAAACTCCACACAGAAGGACCACCTGGGATCGGGGATCGAACCCGAGGCCCTCTTACTATATATATATATATATATATATATATATATATATATATATATATTCAGGGGCGTTTCTAGGATTCCAAGAAAGGGGGGGCTTAGCCCCAAGGGTAGTGGCATGTTTGCGCGCTAAGCACGCAGCAATTGTTTTTGGGCCCCATTTGGGGCCGCGGATATCCATTGTTTCAGACAGTTTATAGATTGGTTCAATCAGAAAGAGTGATTTTGCTCTGTAGTTTTGCTTGCATTCAGTATATATATATATATATAACACAAGAGACAGAATTTCAGGGTCATAGTGAAATTTGACAACACAAATATGAACTTTTCTCAAATAAAGAGAGAGAAATAATGTTCCTACTTGTAAAGGAAAGACGGATAAACTAGCTTCCATATCCGCGTCACTCCCAAATCCTAATTCTTAAAGGGACCACACACTATGGATGGAGAATGGACCTGACAGTGTCAACTTTATATCGTTAAGTATGATGATAGGCTATTGGATTGAAATTTGAAGGGGGAGAAAACATACAAACCAGACCGCACGCATATATGTAGTATGTTAGAGTTATAAATAACTTGTCCATGTGAGAAACAATAGTTTAATTTAATTACTTCACCAAAAAAAAAAAAAAAGGGTTTTAGGGCTGAAGCCCCCCTAAAATAGGCCTAACGATGCCCCTGTATATATTACTGCTGCACTATGTTTATGTTGCATTCTACAGATACTCCAAAAGGTGTCCTGTGAGAACCACGTATCGCTTTTTAAAAATAGTTTATTTAGCTTAAGAAGTAGGAGGGTTGTCTCGACACATAAAGGAACGCTTCACCCTACTGGTTTATCCCAAGCAGTCAGCGTCAACGCATCTGCAGATACAGAGTGTTCACTGGACGGGAAGGCAAAAAATAAATCTGAAAAGTAACTAAAGCTATATACAAAGTAACTGGATTGTTATATATATATATGTATATATATACACACATATTACATTACATTACATTACATTACAGTCATTTAGCAGACGCTTTTATCCAAAGCGACTTACAATAAATGTATTCAGGTATTCAAGAGAACTAGTCACAGAAGTCATAAATCCATCTCCTTGTTTACACACGCATCTAAGAGCATAAACCAGAGCATGAACCAGAGCGAAAGTACAGTGCAGAAACAAACTAATACAAATACAGTAAGTGCAACAAACTAATACGGATACAATAAATGCTAATACAATACAATAAGTGCTAAGTGGAAGGCTCTGGGTAGTACTTCTTGAAGGACTACCCACACACACACAGATATACACATGTATTACATTTTATATTACATACGAGTATTAAATTAACTTAAATGAGTACACTTGCTGGCTCAGTTTTTAGAATCATTGCTTTAAATTATATTTAATTCCCAATGCGGAATGCAGGTTGTAAATACCCAGATTTACCCTCCAGTCATATAGGTGGCGCTAATGCGTTTTAACGTTGCCTGGTCGTCGCCACAAAGTAAGACATGCGCAATAGTCGAACTGTTTGAACCTTGCAGCTTGCTGTCGTTGCCCCAGGACGTCACTTTCCTCGTTTCCAGAAACGCTGCTAAGGAAGCGTCCCTGTTTCATACATTTTGCCCATTGAAGTCATTTGTGTCCTGTACAGAATTGAAAGTGCAACAATTTAACTGTATTCTTGTTTTATATGGAGGAATTTGAAGCCAGTTAGGTTTAAGTTTGTAACGTTGTGAAAGCAGCAAATAAGCTAATAGAAAACGCACTGACTCCTTGTAACGTACGCCTTTTTTCATTTAATGCTAACGTTACTGCACTTATAGTCCGAAGCCTTTCCACCAAAATGATGACCTATTCTGACTACGACTCTGACGGATATTCGTCTAATGAAGATAAAGACTACGTCCCATCAGGTGAGGGCAGTAAACACCTTGCGTTCTCCAAATGCAGTGTTAACTAGGCTACTGAAGGAAAACACCTTATGGAAGGTTCTAGTGGGTTTAAATGCTCAAAGTTGAGCTAATTAATGTAACACACACGATGACTAACGTGTTAACATAAAGTTATGCATTAAGCACGATGAACTAGCTACAGTGTCAAATATCCAGCAGCTGTGGTAGCCTACTAACCCCTTAACGTGATGCTCTTCCGTTAGAGATTGTCTACCATTTGTTCGTGTATTGCTTCTCAGTGCACACACCTTTATGGTGAGGCTGCTGTAAGTCACGGTGGCTCGCGTCATATCGTGTCGTTTGTTATCAGGCCGTCTATTACCGTTATTGGACTCTTTTGACACATTGTTTAATATGTATACAAACAGCTGTGCCAGCTGGTGTACCAAGGCGGTGTTGTAATGCACCGCATTGTATTGAGAGGTGTTTCTATTTTTGTGTCCTCCTTATTTACGAACCTAATGGGGCTGAATATTAGAAACACCTCTGACTAGAATGCTGTCCAGTACATCACATCACCAACTACGGCCTCCATGCTTAAAGTATAGAATTGAATTCAGCACTGTTGATATACAGTGTGGTAAACACATGCACAATCTCAAGAGAAAGGAAATGAGCTGCTTTACATGAGATCCAACTTTTTAAACGTTTCAAACTAAAAAAAATCAAATAGTATTTTTGTTATTTTTTGATCACGGGTTGATCAGAAGCATTCATTTGGACAACAGACATTTGTAGAACAATAACATGTTAAATTAATACCGTCACAACACGACTTTGCTGAAGTTCAATAAATTGTGATATCAGCCCTGTTATATATCTGTTTATCTATATATCTGTTAATCAGTTGTTCACATCCTCTTTCTACTCATTCCCTCCTCAGACGACAACCTCAGCGAGGACGACATTAATGAGTGTGAAAGGGAAGAGCCTCTGCACGAGGGCGACAGTGTGCCGCATCCGCACGATGTCAGCAAGAAGAAGAGAAAGAAAACGGACATCGGTGTGAGGTGAGAGGCTTGAGAGAATACTATTTAAATATTATTACATCTATAGGAGCACTTTGAAGCTCTCTGCATGCTCCTTGAAAGACGTCTACAAAGCAATGTCATACTCGAATTCCCATGACAACCCAACGACTCTGCTGGGGGGTCACGACAACTTTGTGGACTACAAATAAGCTGAAACCCCGATGTTGATGCACGAAACATCAAACCTTTCCTCTGGAACGCCGTGTAACTACAAGAATAAAACATGCAAATATATAGTTGTCAGTGATACAGCCAGAAGAGCACATTCAAGTTGAGCCTAAATACATGTTAGGCTCCACTTTTCCTATTTTGTTCTGATGTGGACCTGAAACAAAACTTTACTCCAACATCTTGGATGAAATAGCATTTTATGTTTAGTGGCTTTTCCTGAATTGTTGAGCAGAGACATCCGCCATTTTTAACCAGTTAACACAATTCAGTTGCATTTAGTATGCGTTTTATTTTAAACCCTCTGATCCCCAATACCCACTAGCAGCTTGGAAAAGCAACTTTTCTTTTGTTGTTGTTTTTTATTGGCAAAAAACACACCGTTTATCATATTCAGAAGCGACATTATAGCTTTGTAACAGCGCCGACAGAGCTAGCTTTGTAACAGCGGGCGCTACGTTTCTGCAACGACACCGTGGGTCGGGATGGGGGTTATCAGCGGTAAACTGACGTATGAGCGCAGAGCGTCAGCGATTAACTTGACAGTTGGGGCACGCTGTGATAACAACACACACTCAGAAGGGGGAGCGACTTAATCCTCTGCTTGGGTACACATCTCTCCACTATGTCTTTACATAGATAATAGTTGTTTTGATGCTCTGAATTTAGCAGCTTTTAATTAAAGAAGATGATTACCTTTTATTCACTGGTACCCTCGGACAAATCTACAGAAAGAGGAAGAAAGGAGTGCTGAAAGTAGACGAGGAAGAGATGGACGGAGGCGGAGCAGAAGAGTCGCAGCTGCCGCAGGAAGAGGTGGGAAGAGTCACGACGGTACGGGAAGACGACGACGAGCGACAGAAGAAAAAGTCTGACGACCTCTGGGCCAGTTTCCTGTCCGATGTCGGATCCAGACCCAAAGACCCCCCACCCGCCTCACAGTCTAGTATGGCACAGAAGGTGAATGTGTTCTCAACCTAAATGTACAGCTAAGGTGGGGCCATGTTTTAAAACACTTGGAGGGAACTAAATTCTTCACCAAAATTTGAAATGAATCATTCACAGCTGTGTTCCATACCCAGATAGATAGAGAGGCTTGTTTGTTTTGTTGGACTTAAATCCCTCCACTTCCAATATATCAGGTGGATTTAACAATATGAAACATTAATTATCAAACCTACCATATTTTATCTGTGTGTCTGATGTCCTTGTCTCTCCCTTAAACTGAATCTTTTGTTTTTGTCCTCAGGAGGATTCCGCAGTATTGACGGTTGCTCCATTGAGCACAGAAACAAAAGCATCAGCACCTGCTACGGTCACCATCACTAAAGTGTTTGACTTTGCTGGAGAAGAAGTTAGGTGAGTCCTCTGAACATCATCAACACACAAAACAGTTTTTGGAAGATGGGAAACACAAGTAGATGTTGTCAATTAATTAATAAATTCTGGTGATCCATTTTCTAAGTCTGATTTAAATAGTTTCTCTCCTGACTTAATTAATATAGAACAGGTGTAAAAACGGTTTTGCCAGGATAGTCATTCCAAGTTCCGGAGATATGTGAAACAGGTGGGGAAAAACATTTTGCCAGATAAACAAACAAATATTTTATCAGAATCATTTTTCTGAGTAGCTTTTTTTTTTTTGTTCATCTGTAAATACAGGTGGAAAACAAAGTCTTACTGTTTATTGTTGTAATACTCATTTTGGCCACAGGAGACTGAAGTGCGCCCCTACCCCTTTGTTCTAAATGGGACTAAAAGCATCATGTTTTTTTTTACTTTCAATCAAAAAAAAAAAAAAGATCTTCACTAAAAAAAAAATCACCTGCTAAAACTTAGAATTTAGAAAAGTTATTCTGAAAAAATGTATTTTTTCACTCAGGAGAGAAAAAAATTCGAAAATTGAAAACTTTTTTTTCACATCTGCATCACAGGACTTCCTTAAATCAAAACTTTTGAAGCTCACAGTTAAGTTGAAACTTTCCTGAACTAAATAATAATAATAACCTTTCAGTGAATAAGAGCCCCTGGCATCCTCTTGATGTTATGTTCCTCTATACATTCAGTGTAATCAACATACCCCCAAACAAATAACTTCAGATTGTATATTTGATTATAACCGATGATCTGAAATTAGTTTTCACATTGACCAGTAGGTGGTGCCAATAACTCAGGCATACGCAGGCTGGATGAGTAAACATCATAAAGTATGGTATGATAGATAGTAGTAATTATGATAGTAACTTTATTCATACAGCACCTTTTAAAGACAGAGTTAACAAAGTGCTTTGACAGACAAAAGCAAGGCAAACAAAGGTTCAATTTCAACTGATAAAACTGTACTATAGATGAAACAATAGAAACAAACAATACAATAAATACAAATGAAAAAAATGCAATTAGAGAAAATGAACAAATAGATGAATAAATAATAAATATAATAAAAAAAACAAATAAAAGCAGCTCTAGTCATGCTCTGTTACTTTGCTTTAGTCAGATATGAGTTCAGTTTTACGTGGCTCTTTTACCTCCAGTTCAACTTTCTTGTCCTGTGTATTTGAAATAGAAGGAAATGCTCATTCTCGGTAGCATTCTCCGCCCTTAATGTGGCACACATCCACAGACAACACCTACAAAAGTCACACAATAAACAGTGACGCATCAGAGCAACAATGTGTGGCACGTATGGATGGACGCGTCAACTGTTGCAGCAACCCGACAATCATCAGCAAGTTCCGTCTGTTTATATAGGGTGTAATGAACATTTTCATTTCTTTTTTGCTTTTTTTTGGTATTTTGTTCAGACACACATGCAACGCTGAGTACCGTAATATGTGTGGTATTTGTTATAAATGTACGTTGGTACATAGAGGGTGATAAGAAGCTGTACATGGAGGGACTTAGGACCCAGGGGAATGTAGGTGAAGGAAACAGGAAGAGACGGAAGAGACGTTACACAAACAGCTGTCGGCTCGCTGCTGGCCGGTCCGCCAGCCGGTTCTTGTGTTAAAAATGTCCGCTTAATAAAAAAACAAAACTAATATATATATGTATATATATATATATGTATATGTATATGTATATGTATGTATATGTATGTATATGTATGTATATGTATGTATATGTGTATATATATATATGTGTATATGTATATGTGTATATGTATATGTGTATATATATATATGTATATATGTATATGTGTATATATATATGTGTGTGTATATATGTATATGTGTATATATATATGTGTGTGTACATATGTATATGTGTATATATATATGTGTGTGTATATGTATATGTATATATATATATGTGTGTGTATATGTATATGTATATATATATGTGTGTGTATATGTATATGTATATATATATGTGTGTGTATATGTATATATATATGTGTGTATATGTATATGTATATATATATGTGTGTATAT